CCGCCCTGCTCCCTGAGGTGCCCCCCCCACCCCGGTCCCTGAGCTGCCCCCCGCCCTGCTCCCTGAGGTGCCCCCCGCCCTGCTCCCTGAGGTGCCCCCCACCCTGCTCCCTGAGGTGCCCCCCCCACCCCGGTCCCTGAGGTGCCCCCCGCCCTGCTCCCTGAGGTGCCCCCCACCCTGCTCCCTGAGGTGCCCCCCCCACCCCGGTCCCTGAGGTGCCCCCCGCCCTGCTCCCTGAGGTGCCCCCCCCACCCCGGTCCCTGAGGTGCCCCCCGCCCTGCTCCCTGAGGTGCCCCCCGCCCTGCTCCCTGAGGTGCCCCCCCCACCCCGGTCCCTGAGGTGCCCCCCGCCCTGCTCCCTGAGGTGCCCCCCACCCTGCTCCCTGAGGTGCCCCCCCCACCCCGGTCCCTGAGGTGCCCCCCGCCCTGCTCCCTGAGGTGCCCCCCCCACCCCGGTCCCTGAGGTGCCCCCCGCCCTGCTCCCTGAGGTGCCCCCCGCCCTGCTCCCTGAGCTGCCCCCCCACCCCGGTCCCTGAGGTGCCCCCCGCCCTGCTCCCTGAGGTGCCCCCCGCCCTGCTCCCTGAGGTGCCCCCCCGCCCTGCTCCCTGAGGTGCCCCCCGCCCTGCTCCCTGAGGTGCCCCCCCAACCCCGGTCCCTGAGGTGCCCCCCGCCCTGCTCCCTGAGGTGCCCCCCGCCCTGCTCTCTGAGGTGCCCCCCCGCCCTGCTCCCTGAGGTGCCCCCCGCCCTGCTCCCTGAGGTGCCCCCCGCCCTGCTCCCTGAGGTGCCCCCCGCCCTGCTCCCTGAGCTGCCCCCCCACCCTGCTCCCTGAGGTGCCCCCCTCCCTGCTCCCCGAGGCGCCCCCCCACCCTGCTCCCTGAGGTGCCCCCCCCACCCCGGTCCCCGAGGTGCCCCCCGCCCTGCTCCCTGAGGTGCCCCCCGCCCTGCTCTCTGAGGTGCCCCCCCGCCCTGCTCCCTGAGGTGCCCCCCGCCCTGCTCCCTGAGGTGCCCCCCGCCCTGCTCCCTGAGCTGCCCCCCCACCCTGCTCCCTGAGGTGCCCCCCTCCCTGCTCCCCGAGGCGCCCCCCCACCCTGCTCCCTGAGGTGCCCCCCCCACCCCGGTCCCTGAGGTGCCCCCCGCCCTGCTCCCTGAGGTGCCCCCCACCCTGCTCCCTGAGGTGCCCCCCCCACCCCGGTCCCTGAGGTGCCCCCCGCCCTGCTCCCTGAGGTGCCCCCCCCACCCCGGTCCCTGAGGTGCCCCCCGCCCTGCTCCCTGAGGTGCCCCCCGCCCTGCTCCCTGAGCTGCCCCCCCACCCCGGTCCCTGAGGTGCCCCCCGCCCTGCTCCCTGAGGTGCCCCCCGCCCTGCTCCCTGAGGTGCCCCCCCGCCCTGCTCCCTGAGGTGCCCCCCGCCCTGCTCCCTGAGGTGCCCCCCCAACCCCGGTCCCTGAGGTGCCCCCCGCCCTGCTCCCTGAGGTGCCCCCCGCCCTGCTCTCTGAGGTGCCCCCCCGCCCTGCTCCCTGAGGTGCCCCCCGCCCTGCTCCCTGAGGTGCCCCCCGCCCTGCTCCCTGAGGTGCCCCCCGCCCTGCTCCCTGAGCTGCCCCCCCACCCTGCTCCCTGAGGTGCCCCCCTCCCTGCTCCCCGAGGCGCCCCCCCACCCTGCTCCCTGAGGTGCCCCCCCCACCCCGGTCCCTGAGGTGCCCCCCGCCCTGCTCCCTGAGGTGCCCCCCACCCTGCTCCCTGAGGTGCCCCCCCAACCCCGGTCCCTGAGGTGCCCCCCGCCCTGCTCCCTGAGGTGCCCCCCACCCTGCTCCCTGAGGTGCCCGCCACACTCCTCCCTGAGGTGCCCCCCACCCTGCTCCCTGAGGTGCCCCCCGCCCTGCTCCCCGAGGCGCCCCCCCACCCTGCTCCCCGAGGTGCCCCCCCCACCCCGGTCCCTGAGGTGCCCCCCCCTGCTCCCTGAGGTGCCCCCCGCCCTGCTCCCTGAGGTGCCCCCCCACCCTGCTCTCTGAGGTGCCCCCCCGCCCTGCTCCCTGAGGTGCCCCCCGCCCTGCTCCCTGAGGTGCCCCCCGCCCTGCTCCCTGAGGTGCCCCCCACCCCGGTCCCTGAGGTGCCCCCCCACCCTGCTCCCTGAGGTGCCCCCCGCCCTGCTCCCTGAGGTGCCCCCCGCCCTGCTCCCTGAGGTGCCCCCCCGCCCTGCTCCCTGAGGTGCCCCCCGCCCTGCTCCCTGAGGTGCCCCCCACCCTGCTCTCTGAGGTGCCCCCCCGCCCTGCTCCCTGAGGTGCCCCCCCAACCCCGGTCCCTGAGGTGCCCCCCGCCCTGCTCCCTGAGGTGCCCCCCGCCCTGCTCCCTGAGGTGCCCCCCCAACCCCGGTCCCTGAGGTGCCCCCCGCCCTGCTCTCTGAGGTGCCCCCCTCCCTGCTCCCTGAGCTGCCCCCCCACCCTGCTCCCTGAGGTGCCCCCCGCCCTGCTCCCTGAGGTGCCCCCCCGCCCTGCTCCCTGAGGTGCCCCCCCACCCTGCTCCCTGAGGTGCCCCCCCCCACATACACTCACACCCTTCAGCCACTTTCATTTCCATGAGTGAGGACAAGAGCCCTCAAGCTGCCGGCCAGCGGGCGGGCCCCCTGCACTCAGCTCTGGCCCTGAGCCAGCTGGGGTGGAGACTGGAGAGGAGACCTCAGCAGGCAAGGTGGCCTGCAGGGCAAGGTGGCCTGCAGGTCAGCCCCTCACAGCCGGCTCCCTGCTCAGGCTGGTGTCCGGTATCTCTGAATAATTCACGGGCCCCGACTTGGCACCCATTACCAGGTGCTCTGAGCTTGGGAGCCCCCAGGACCCCAGGGTACCAGCCTGTGTGACTCCAGTTTGCAGGACTGCTGTGGAGGGCAGGCTGGTTGGGCACAGGAGTCCTGTCAAGGAGGCTACCTGTGGGCCCCAGCCCTGCTTGGAGAGTGGGGGTGGAGCCAAGGAATGGCATTCGGCCTCCCAGCTGCAGGGATTGGGCTGATGCTCGGGGCTGTGCTGGGCTAGCCGGGAAGGGGCACTGACCAGTGGACACAGAACCCCGTCTCAGAGCTAGAGGCTGGGTCAGGCACCAGCCATGGGGCTGAGTGAGGACGGCAGGGCTGGAGGGAAGCAGGCGGGGCCCCGCTGGCCGGGCATGGGGGCAGGTCCCTCCCTCGAGGCTGCAGTGGAGCAGTGTCCTGGTGGCACTGGCAGATGGCACATGGGAAGCCAGGCTCGCATTCCCGCAGGGCCCCCAGGGCTGTGCCCAGGGGTGGGCAGTGGGAGGCCCCAGGCGGGGCAGGCTGGCACACCAAGGCCCTTGTGGGGACATGCCCACCTGAGATGCCCTTGATCCTGGGGCTGGCTGCCGCAGGCCCCTGCCGCGCCCACAGAAGCCGAGCAGAACTAACCAACACTTGGTTCCTCAAGAACTCCCACCCCACTTCTAGGCCTGGCACAGACCTCTCAGACAGCAGGGCCCAGTGTTGGGCCCAGGGAGGGTGCCCCGGCCCTCCTGACTGTCTCTGGGGCGTGGAGGGGAGGGCCCGGCTGGGGGGAGGCTCCTCCCCTCCTTTTCCCTCCCCTCCCCAGCGCACTGAGGGAAGGTAGTGTCTTCGTCAAGGTCACCAGCCTGGCCTCCCAGCCCCACCACTGAGGCTGGGGGATGGGCGGGTGTGGGGCCAGCCATGGGGGTGGTGTGCCCCAGCCTCTTCTGACACCCTGGCCCGCCACCCAGCGGGGCCCACAGCAGGCCCTTGGACGCCAGGACACCCCTTATCTGTCCCAGGCAAGGCGACAGAGTGGCTTCTATTTTAATTCTCCAGCCGAGATGTCCACACATCACCGTGGGACTGGAGGCACAGCAGGCAGAGCTCAGGGAGGGGCCCCTCCGAGGGCCTGGCGGACCCCTCCCTCCAGCCTCTGGCCTGGATGCACCTGTCTGGTGGGCCTGGAGCGGGTGTGCAGGGGGCCGGAGCGAGGTAGGGTTTCTGAGAACGGACTTGCTGAAATCTGAGCAAACTCTCCCAGAGGAAATGGCACACCTGCTTCGGGTGGCCCCGCGGCTCCTGGCAGCCATCTGCGGACAGCTGCAGTGGGCTCTGCCAGGCCGGCCAGCAGCCCGGCTGACCCTGCCACCCTGGCTGCCCCAGCCGGGGAGCCTGGCACCTGCCAGTCTGGATCCCAGGCCAGGCCCAGACCACCCCTGCCTCGGACAGACAGTGTATTGGCTCCCCGTGTGGGAGCCCCGAGCCCGGATGGACCTTTCTCTGCCCCCAGGGGGCAGGTGGTAGGCACGGGGCCGAGCTGAGGCGGCAGGGGAGCCCCCAGGCCAGCCTGTGGGGGCCACACGCTGCTGCCTAGGCTTCTCCCTGGACGTCCCAAGGACGTTCTGCCCAGGCAGACCCGGGCAGGGGGTGGCTTCCAGACCCACCGAGCTGGGGGTGGGGGGCACTGAGCTCCCCTAAAGCGACAGGACTGCAGTGGGCCCGAGACAGAGAGATGGACTGAAGGCAAAAGACACAGGAAGGGCTAGTTGGATTTTTGTTTTTATAAGTTTTTTTTTCTTTGTTTTTTTTAATATGAAAATTACTTGAAAAGACAAGGGGCCAACCCCACCAGGCAGCTCGGCCGGCCGCTGGCCACGCCGATCCTAACATTCCAGGTGTAAGTTACAGAGCTTAAGTTCATCTACAAAAAAGTAATAAAAATAAAATTTAAAATGGCACCTTCAACAGAAACAACAAAACTCCCGGCCGGCCCTTGAGCCCGCGTGCGGGGCAGGCACTCGGGCGGCTCCTCAGCTCCGCTCTGGCCAAAAAGTAAACACAAAGCTAAAAAAACGACTCCCCGGCGGGTCTGGAGTAAGTCGGGCGCTTCTCCCCGCGTGGCCGAGGGGCAGTTTCTCTGCGGGGGAGGGCGGGCAGGGCACTACCAAATCCGGGCGGCGGGCGGCGGGCGGGCGTGGTCTGGGCGTGGTCTGCAGTCAGAGGGCCGCACGGGCGGCCTAGTCCTCGATGACGATGGGCTCGTCGTTGACGGGCGCGGGCGGGGGCGGCCGCAGAGGCAGGGCCTGGCTCGGGCGCAGGGCGATGGGCTTGTAGGGCCTGCGGGCCGCGCGCTTGGTCTCGGAGGACGAGAGCAGCTTGCGGATCTTCCTGTGGTGGAGCCGGGCAGTGAGGTGGGCAGGCGGCACAGCACCCGGCCCCCACCCCCGCGGGGTCCGCCCGCCCGCCCACCTGGTCTCCTCGGTGGCCATGTAGAACACGTCGTCGGGGGCGTCGATCCAGTTCATCCGCCGCCGCTTGACGGGGGGCAGCGAGCCCCCCCGGATGAGGCGCACCTTGGTGGGGTACGCCTTCCCGTTGAGCAGGAGGTTCCGGCTTGGTCCCTGCGGTGGGGCAGGCCTGAGAGAGGAACTCGGGGCCTCCACGCAGCGCCCAGAAGCCCCACGGTGGCCGTCCCAGGGGCAGTGTGGGCCGGGGCGCCCGGAGAGCTACGAAGACCCCATGAAGACCCCAACACCTGCCGCCCCTCGGGTCCCCAGAAGCCTCCCAGATGCTCCCACAGCCCCTGGCAGGCTGGGGGCCTCCTGGCTAAGGCCCACGGGAGCATGTGTGTGCAAGTGTGTGGAGAACAGGGTCCCTGCGCTTACCATGTGCCTGGTCTGTCCGTGATTCGCCAAACCTAAGGAGGGAGGAGGACGGCCGTGAGGCCCCCGCAGGCACGTGCCACACCCGCATGCCTGCCAAGGGCCCACAGCGCAGAAGCAGGAAGCCTGGGGCTACCTCTCCCCAGAGCTGCCGCCCACACCCAGGCAGGCCTCAGCTCCCCGAGTCCTGGCCTTGCCCAGGTGGCTCTCAGGGACCCCCCCCGGGGGGGTGGGGTGGGTGTGGGAGCCTCGGATCTGAGCTCACTCCCTTGAGGAGCCGGGACCACTGCGGCCTGGTTTAGAGTAGCCAAGTGACACCTGGCACAGCTACACATACAATGGCAACAGGGAACCCCTCTGCAGAGCAGCCACTCCCTGGGCTCAGACTTTCTCCCGAGGGGCTCCCAGTCCCGTGTGGGCCTTGGGCCAGGTGCCCTGCAGGAAGCTGATGGAAGTGCCCAGGAGAGGTCAGAAGGCCATGCTCCAGCTAGCAATTCCACTCTATGGTTGGGGATCTGGAGGTGAAAGCCACTACCAGTGGCTCAGAAAAGGCACTGTCCCAGGTCACAGGCTGTACCCTCAACGGGCACCAAAACAACCCACAACTCCCTGATGCAGGTGCAGTGAGTCTGCCATGAGAGCATCAGTATGAGTACACAAGCCCGTGAGCGTGTGTTGGTCTGAGTACACAGGACCGTGAGCACGTGTTGGTCTGAGTATACAGGCCTGCTAGCCTGTCGGTGAATACATGAGCCTGTGAGCACATGTTGGTGTGAGTACATGGGCCCATGTGTCAGTGAGTACACAGGCCCATGAGCACGTATTGGTCTGAGTACACGGGCCTGCTAGCACGTCAGTGAATACACGGGCCTGTGAGCACGTGTTGGTGTGAGTACATGGGCCCGTGAATGTGTCGGTGAGTACACAGGCCCATGAGCACATGTTGGTGTGAGTATACGGACCTGTGAGCGTTGTCAGTGAGTACATGCGCCCGTGAGCACGTGTTGGTATGAGTATACGGGCCCGTGAGCATGTACTGGTGAGTACACAGGCCTGTGACCACGTGTCAGTATGAGTACACAGGCCCGCGAACAGGTGTCAGGGTATGTGCACGGGCCCATGAGCATGTGTCAGTGAGTACACGGGCCTGCGAGCAGGTATCGCTGTGTATACACAGGCCCGTGAGCACGTGTTGGTGGGAGTACACGGGCCCTCAAGCAGGTGTCGGTGTGCGTACACGGGCCCATGAGCACGTGTTGGTGTGAGTACACAGGGCCATGAGCGTATGTCGGGATAAGTGCATGTGGCTGTGTGTCAGTGTGCATCTACATGGTTGCATGAGCTAGTCTCCATCGTCCACACTCTGCCACACACATCTAGCTCCTCCCAAAAGTGCTTCTTGACTAAGGTCTGTCTCTAGATGAGCCTGGAATAGCTGTCCAGCCCCCCTTTGCAGCACCTCCTAACTTGGGATACCCACAACCCCACCAGGCAGAAGCAGGGGCCCCAGCACCCAGCTTGCAGCGCTCACGAGCTGTCCACGGGTGTACACAGCGATACACAGCGCTCAAGGCTCTGCGCTACTTACCCAGGTAGGTGCCTACCAGAGGGACGAGTGGCAGAGAGAAGAAAGCACACAGTTAGCGTGGAAGGGTGTACACGTGGGGCCCTGGGTGGAGGCAGCCACAGGCCATGGAGGGCCAGGTTAGGGAGTTAAGACCCCCTGGGGTCAGGGCCCTGGCCGAGAGCCGACTCCTGCCATCCGCTGCTGCCCTGGCCACCACACAGCACCCCAGTGGGCCTAAGTGCGGCCTCCGACACCCACCCGGGACCCAGGACTGGGGCTGAAGTAGCTACAGGAACACATGGATTTTGGAAAAACTGATGAAGTGAATGGAGTTTATCCCCCTGCTATCAAGAGCTCTTTACAAGTCAAGCCCTAAGCCCCAAGCCCTGTTGATAAGACCCACTTCCCCTCCTGTGGGATGTGGGCAGACGTGCGGACCGGTTGCTCTGCTGAGACCAGGGGCTGTGGGAACCCCCCAAGGATGGCTCCAGGGAAAGGGGGGAGGTCAGCGAGGGGGTGAGGCTGGGGTGAGCTGGCGCCCCACCAAGGGGTTGTAGGCAAGGCAGCAGGGGGCCTGGGGCGGGAAGAGCCTGTGTCCAGATGGAGGGAGAGAACCTGGCCTCAGTGCCACTTGCTGACCCTCAGCAAGTGCCTGCCAGGCTCCCAGACACACTAAGATGGGCGTGTCCAGGGGACCGGGCTGGGCCAGATGGAAACTGACTCCCACCACCTCCCAGAAATTTGAGAACCAAGCCCGGTCCAGCCTCCTGGGCTGGCAGGTCTCCAGTCCTGAGACTGGGGAGGGCTCTGGCCACATCCATGCTGGCTGCCCATGAGGTTGGGGTTCCCACGCCGGACCTGACCTTGTTGCTGGGAGGGGCTGCGGGAGGAGCTCTGAGTGCGTTCCCCTAAGTTCCCCGTCCGCTGATTCTGTTCACCTCCCCCTCATGGGTACTGCCACGGGCTGACCGTTGGGGGCACTGGCCCCCACAAGGCTGACATGCCCCTCACTGGCACCGTGGTGACCCCTACTAGAGCAGCCCCAGACCACAAACGCCCCTCCCTCACGAGAAGGCAAAAGCCAGCCCTGAGCAGGCGAGGGAGCCACACTTTGGAGGCCAATGCCAGCCGTGCCTGACGGTTGGAGGACCCCGTGGCAGCCTGCCCCGGCGCATGCCCCCCGCACTCGGGACAGGCCCCGCAGTCTCAGCCCTGGGTGTCCCTCCCCACGGGGCCCTGGCCTGGGCTTTCCCTCGCAGACCCCCAGCAGCCATGCCAGCCACACCACAGCTCTGTTGTCAGCACCCGAGGGGCCAGGGTCCCACAGCCCCCCACCAGGCAGGGCACGGGCGAGATCACAAGCACAGGGCAGACGGCCACGCGCGCTGAGGCTGACAGCATGCGGGTGGGTGCAGCGCGGCGGCAGCCAGTGCGGGCGGGTGGCGGGGGCGCCAAGGCCGCCCGGCGAAGGACAGTCCACTGACCGGCGCTGGGCCCGGACGGAGGGGCATTTCATGAGCCAGGGTGCCCAGGTGGGGGGCAGCGCGTGGCCAGCAGGGGTGGGGGTGGCCCCCGGGTCTCTGCCAAGTGACAGGTGGGTCGGGGGGCGCCAGGGCGCGGCCCAGGCCGCGTGGACTGCCCTGGACGTGCCCTGGGCCGTCCGCCACACACACGTGAGCACAGCACATAGGCAGGCGCGTAGGGCCAGGCCTTACCCCTACTGGGCATCAAGAGGCGCTTCTTCACGTTGCCTGGCAGTGCCCGGCGGCAGGAGAGAGGAGAGAACACATGGTCAGCGGGCGCGGGTGCAGCGGGGGCCGGGCACCCCTGGCCCACAGCCACACCGGCCGAGCCCGAGGCCCCCCGGACTCACCGTCGACCCCATTGTGCTGCTCGTAGCTCCTCTTGCCCAGGATGGTGGGGGAGCCATTGTTGATGACGGGGGCCGACTTGGCGGGGGTCAGGCCGCTGAGCACGCCGGACACACTCTTCACTGGGTCAGGCTTGGGGGGGCGGGGGTGCGTCTCTGCAGGGCCAACACGGGCGAGTGGGCACATGGCCGCTCCTCAGCGCAGCCCCACCACCTAGGAGGGTGCATGCAGCCCAGCCCTGGCAGGCACGCCAATGTGGCACCCCGGGCACCCTGAGAGCAGGGAGAGAGGCTGGGGCCAGGCCCCTTAGCCCCTTGGTTCAGCCGACAGGCCCACCAGCGATCACCAGCAGCTCATAGGTCCAGATCCCCATAAACGAGCGGGTCCACTGAGTGGTCACTGAGCTGCCGGCCCAGGTTGGCCACAGGCCTGATGATGAACTAAGGGCCCCGTCAGCTGACCGCAGACAAATCACCGGGCCGGCCAGCTCCAGGAGGCGCAGATCCACACCTGCCAAGTGGCCCAGCCCTCGGCAGCTCTCAGGGGCCAGAGACCAGACAGTAGGAGGAGCCACAGCCGCCTATCTCCCCTAGGAGCCCGCCGCTGGCTCCAAGCATGCTTCACAAGGGAACACGGGCACAGTGGGAGGGACCGAATCCCAGCCCCGCCCAGCAGAGCGGAGGGCCGCGGACAAGCGGGGCGCTCGAGGCCCCAGGCTGCCCCTCTCTGCGTCCCTCCCAGGGGGCACGCCTCCCACCCAGCCCGGATCTTGCCCGGCAGGGAAAAGCATGGGGAAGACCCCTCCGAACCCACACAGGAGCCTGCGGGGGTGGGGGCGTGGGGGGCGGAACCTGCGGAGGGCGGGGCAGGCGGGCTCACCGAGGAACCGCAGCACGGCCTCCAAGGGCTTCCGCGTGGCCTGCTTCAGCACCAGCGGGCTCTGGGAGGCTTCCGGCAGCCGAGCCGTGCCTGCAGGGGGCCAGGGTCAGTGCGCTCGCCCGCCGGCAGCACCCCCACCCGGCCCGCCCCGGGGGACACTCACACTCGGCCTTGATGGCCGCGCTGTTGATGGGCATGTAGGGGTGGCGGGCGGCGTGCCAGGGGCGTAGGATCTCGCGGCACAGGCGCCGGGCGATGCGCGTGAGCTTGGTGGTGTGCAGGTAGAAGGCCTGTCTCGTCTTCATGGCGAACTTGGGGCTCCCGCTGCTCCGCGCTGGGATGCCGTGGGGGCTCTGCGGAAGGGGGCGCGCCGCCCCGACACAGCGCCATGACTGTGGGCCAGGCCGCAGGGGCGGGGCGCGCGGGAGGGCGGGGCGGGGCGCGGGGCGGGGCTTACCATGTTACTGCGATTGGGTCCCGGCCTCTCTCCATCTAACCGGGTTGGCATTTTCAAGCCACCATATTTCTTCCAATATGTCCAACAAGACGCGCAGAGGCGACACTGCATGTTAGGGGGACCCCAAGAATACCACTGGTAAGACTGGGTGGCTACGGACAACAAAGTTGAAAATAGACGGATTCTTAAGCAGAACCAGTGACGGCAGAGAGCATTCCACAGCTGTCGCCCGCCCACACCAACCCGGGCCCGGGCACCACGCTCCCCTCACTCCCGATCAGGGCTCCTCCAGGCAGAGTGCGACCCCCGCTCCCAGGCCGGTCCCCGGGACGGTGCAGGGGTGCCCAGGGCCGCGGACTAGGGTGCGCCTGGGTGCCTGGGGGGCACTTACTGTAACAGCTCTCGCAGGCCCGGCCGGCCCCAGGGCTCTGGCCTGGCGGCCCCGCGCCGTTCACCACGCCTGCCTTGACGTTATTGACGCTGATCTGGTTCGGGTTTGGCTTGTTACTTGGGTAAGGGAGAGAGGGAGGGCGTCACAGGAGCACGGAGCCCAGGGCGCGCGGCTCTGGGGCCCCAGCAGCCCCGTCCACACCCGCCTGGCTGCAGGACGGCCGCCAACCCCAGCTCTCTCCCCGTAGCCTCGGGTCAGAGTCAGACCCCATGTTGGACGGCTTCCAGCCTCCGCGCCCGGTGCTGCCTGGCAGACCGTGGGAGAGCCAGGGCCAGGTCCTGCCCTCCCACCGCCCCCACCATCCTGGGCTTTGAGGACAGGCCCCTGTCTCGCCCAGACTCTGAGCCACGTGAGGCCAGCACCAGGCCTGGCCCACCCAGGGATGTGGAGACACAGGGGTGGTGCTCTGGGGGTGCACTTACTAGTTGGGGATATAAACTTGCTTTAACTTGCTCTCCGCTTCAGCTGCTTTCAAGCGTTTCTTAAAACACAGAACACAGGGTCAGAGGCTGGCAGCTGGGTCTGCAGAGGGGAGACCCCGCCCGCACCAGCTGGCCCTCACCTGCTGCACGTATCTGTCGGTGGTCTTCCACATGTAGTAGTACTCAATGATGCTGGTGAGCGACTTCCAGGGGAGCTGTGGGAGGGGGGCGTCTCAGTGGGGGGGGGGGGATGGGCCCTGCCGGGCCCCGCCCACTCCTGGGCAGACGGCACAGCACAGAAGCTCCTCCCCAGTTTCCATTCCTGCCACAGCGCCTGCGCCCTGCTGGCTGGCTGGCTGGGTAGGTAGGCGCTCCCGCCCCCAGCACACAGTGCCAGGGTGGGGGGCAGAGAGGAGGCACCCGGGCCCCCACCCCGTCCAGGCTGCGGGCTGCACACGCGCACGCGCTCTGCTCCCGCTGTTCTGGCATCACCCCTGGCTCAGAGGCCGAGGGCAAGTCCAGCAGGGCTCGCGCCACCTGCGGGCCTGCCTCCCGTGAGCACGTTCACCCACAACATCCGCCCGGGTGAGTCGATCGCAGGCTACGCGTCTCCTGCACCTGGGCCGTCACACAGGAGTGCTAGAGGCCCGGGACCTGTCGGAGGGGAAGAGGGGGTGTGGCCAGTGTGCCCGGCGCGCTCCGCTTATTTCTGGTGAGGAGACCTTGCTGTCCTGCTGAGGTTTCATCACATCTAGCTGTCGGTCAAGAGGCCGGCTCCGGGCTCGGCCTGCACCCTCGGCACCAGGGCTCTGAGGGCCTCTGGGCCACACTGCTTCTCTGCCTTCTGCAGTGAGCCCGGCACCAGCTTTGTCTATTCCAGCTGAGATGCCGCTGGGCATGCGATGTGGGCCGCTGCATCCCGGGCTCTCCCAGGGGCTCGTGGTCAGGCCAGCCTGGCCGCCCTGCTGCCCTCTCTGTACGGACGTGCTCCTCTGAGTGACCAGTGTTCTTTCAGACGAGCTCAAGTGTGTTTTAGGGGCTGTGAGAGCGGGAGGGGTCCCTGCGGACTTGGTTCCCACGGGCTCAGCGAGGGACACTTCCAAGGACGTATGCGGAGGCTCGACTGGTTATTAAAAACAACTGGACTCAAACACACCCGGGGCCTGAAGGCCGGTGAGGACCTGGACCTGGAGATGCAGCAGGCGCCTCTAATAGACGAGGGGATGGGAACACGGAGGCCTGGGGAGCAGCGCGGTCCTGAGCCCGCCCTGCGGTACTCACAAAGTCTTGCTGAATGTCCGTGAAGTCCTTCCCATACTTTTCCAGGGCCTCCTCGAAAAGGCTGGCCTCTGAGGCTGACCACTCTTCCATCTCGTCCCTGCAGAGCACGGGCCCACCCTGCGGCACCAGGGCTGAGATGGCCTTGGCGACGTCATACACGCTCCTGTGCAGCGTGTCCATGGCGTGGAACTGTGCGGGGCAGGAGGCAGGGTCACCCGGGCCCCGCGCTGGCACCCACCCCCAGCCCAGAGGGCAGACACACCCGGGTCACGTGTGGAAGGCCACAGGACACGGGGCGGCTGCGGGCCTCTGGGGGAGTGTGGGGAGAGAGCCGTGGGCAGCAGGCTGGCCCGGGGCACGTGAGCGCCCTTCTGGGAGACGTGCTGCCCGAGACGGGGCGGGAGGAAGGAGCAGGGCAGCCCCAGGACGTGCAGGCCAGCCTGAGCCTGTGTGGGGACGGGGCTGCCAACGAGGGTGCCGAGAGCCCTGCCGGGGGACGGGCTGGTCTGAGCAGGCCCCTTACCAGGGTGATGTCCCGGGAGGCGGCCGCGGCGCTCATGTGCAGGCTGGGCTGCCGGACAGAGCTGCTGCAGTCCAGGGCCCGGGCGAAGGTGCCCACGGAGCTGGGGGGTGGGGGGGAAGAGACGCTGACACTGAAGCAGACAAGCAGGCCAGCCAGGCTGAGCGCGACCGGCAGCGGCGCCCAGGCTCAGCCATCTCGAGGAGGAGCGCTCTGCTCTGGGGTTCGGGGACTGGGTCTGAGTCTGAGTCTCTGCAGAGCTCTTCTCACGAGACAGCCTTCAGATTCCAGCGCTGGATGGCGCCTGGCTAGGGGGTGGCACGTGGCCCTGAGTGCTCACCAGAGCTGCCCCGCGGGGGCCAGGGCATCAGCCTCAGCAGATGCAGCTCCGGAGAGTGCACCCGCTTCGTGTCCGGGAGGCCTCGGCCTTGGCCACGTCCGCCCCAGCGGCCTCCGCCCAGTCCCAGAGCCAGATGGGCACCCTGTCCCACCCCGCAGTCTGCGGAAAGAGCCCCACCGGCGCCTGGCTTGCTCGGCCTGTTCGGGCGGTGGCCCCGAGCAGCCCCTCAGAGCCAGCTCCGTGTGCAGGAACGGCCAGGCCTCCCTAGGGACCAGGAACAGGTCACCACAGAGCAGGCCCAGCCCCGCTGACCTCGTGTGCCCTTCGCTGGGCGATGCCCCACAGCACAGCTATCCCAGAACCCACCACGGGGTGAGTGAGCAGCTAAGGCCGTGCCAGCCTGTGCCCCGCCTGACGGCACTCACCGGGCCACCACCAGGAACTGGTCGATCTGCTTGTCCACGAGCGGGTTGCGGGCCTCCCACACCTTGGTCTCCAGCTTGGACTGGTCTCGGCCATCCTCCTCGCCTGTGGGGAACGGGTGCCGCAGGGTGAGGCCACCGGGGCCGTGGGAGGAGCCCCAAGGCTCTCGTGAGAGCTCGGAGCCAGGGGTCCCCTTAGGGCCTGGCCTACTGGGGTGAGGGATGGAGCACCCCCTTCTGCAGGGAGGGAGAGGGTGAGTGAACCCGGGGTAGGGACACAGCACACATGTGCGCACACACACACAAAGAAGCACATGGACGCACATACACCACACACAGGAATGCGTGTACACACAGGCACACACACACACACACACACACGGATGCAGTTGGGTCAGTGCTCCAGGGTGAGCGTGGCACAGGGCAAGCCTTCACCGCTGGAGTGGAGTCCAGGTCTGGGCTCCCGGGCCCCTGGAGGAGCCACCGGGAGGGCCCTGGCAGCACAGATGCTAGGTGAGGGGCAGGCGGTTCAGATCTGTTCAGCTGAGCCCCTGACTACCAGCACGCTGGTGCCGGCTCAGCAGACATTCGCCTGCCACCTGGGGCCCTGAGGCCAGAGGCCTCGTCTCGGGGCGTCTTCCCCCTCAGCCTGCAGGTGGTGCGGGGGGGCCCAGGGCCCGGCCATGGATGCTTCTGTCCTGGGCAGCGCCCACGCCAAGGGCCAGTGTGCTCCGGTCAGCAGGGGGGATGGGGCCACAAGGAGGGTCTGGAGAATGCCCACCCTGGCATGGCTGGGCTGGTGTGGAGGACACGTCACACCCACACTCAACTCGGGCGCCCGGGCTGAACGTCTGCAGACACCCTCAGCCACCGTCCCTCTTGGTGGGAATCTGCTTCCAGGCCCAGGACCCCCCGCACACTTGGGAATCCTGTGGAGCTTGGGGTGGGTGCGGGTCAGCAGGGCTGGATGTGGCTGAAAGTCTCTAGGGAGACATGTGCCCCCTCGCCCTGGGGAGGTCACCCTGGCGGGCTCCAGGGGCATGCTGGGCCAGGGGTCCACGGGAGGGAAGCCCAGCACCGCAGACGTGCAGGGCTGACCCAGGGACAGGGCGTGCAGATCCAAGAGCCTGGGGTGCCAGGGCTGCGGGACGCAATGGGGCGCCTGGAGGACGGGCATGGGTGGGCTCCCCGCCAGCAGTGCCTCAGCACCAAGACCCTCCCCGGGGAAGGCGGGGACCCTCTTCCTGCATCAAGGCCCCAGCGACATGGTCCGGCAGCCAGGCCCAGAACCCCGGGCACAGTGGCACCCGTCTCAGGGCCACGCTGGCTGGCAGGCAGCATCACGGCACACTCTGTGCTGCCACACACGTTCACGGCCGGGGCGCAGGTTCACACGGGCAGGGTCCACGCCCTGGGAAGCACGCGAAGACGGCAGGCTGAGGCCTTCGCCAGGGCCCCCGGGGCAGGAGCGGGAAACGCCCAGGCGGCAGGGCTCGCTCAGGGCACCTGAGGACAGAGGCTCATCCCTGCCGAGCACCCAGGCGGTTGGCAACGCGAGCTCTTTGGACATTCGAGCCACCAGCATCCTCTGGTGGCCTCACCAGGACCCCTTAGCCATCCCACAGGAGCGCAGGCCTGGGGACCCCCAGGGACCCTGAAGGCGGCCTGACCCTGGAGACAGGTCTGCGGCCAGCACGGCCAGCTCTGTTCCAGTGGGAGACGTGGCGTGGGGACCCCCAGGATGACGCGAGTGCTCACAGGGCCAGAGGGAGACGCAGCCAGGCCCGCCTGCGATGGAGCCGGACACACGGGGCGGACGCGGGAGCCACCCCGCCACCTGCTTCCCATGGGCCTGGCTCAGTGCCTCCCTGACACCCGACCAGATGAGCAGGTGCCCCAGACGGAGACCGAGGCCCCGACAGGGAGGCAGGTGTGAGCGTGTGGATGAGGTGCAAGTGAGCTGTGGCACAGGTGTGTGCACATGTGTGCAACAGGAAACGTGTACACGGGCCAAGAGCAGAGTCCAGGGCGAGTGGCGCAGTGGGGGGTTCAGGAGGAGCAGCGGCTGCAGAGAGGGGGCTCCCGCGGCCCCCTGCGTCAGCCCCACTTGCCTGGGTGTGGCCGCCACCCAAAGGATGCAGGCTGCTCATGGCAGGCCTGCGGTCAGCCCTGGGGCCCCCACAGGGAGCGGGTCACCAGGGCCTGAGTTCCCCTGCGCTGTGTGCCTGGGGACAAGCTGAGCTGCAGGAAGGGGTCAGGCCCGCCCATGATCCCCAGGCCACTGGAGGCCTGAGAGGCCAGGGGAGCTGGGCACTGTGTCCCCCTAGCACGGGGGCCTCGCGGACAGCACCGTCCACCAGAAGTCAGTGACACCGGCAATGGCTCAGACAAGCTCTTTGAACAGAAAAAGAGCTTATAAAAAGTTATGAAAACAACGCTAAAAGGAAACAAAGTCTCCAGGCGGCACAGAGGGTCCAGCGACAGGCGCTGGGGGTGCTGGGCCCACCGCCGCCCACCCACCTTCTTTCAGCAGGTCAGTGATGTCCGCCTGGTACCGGTTCCCCACCCGGATCTCCCCCTTGTCCGCCAGGAGGGTCTTCTGCTGGGGGTCGTAGACCAGGGAGTAGAAGAAGAAGTCCTGGAAAGCAGCACGGGGCAGGGGTGTCGGCACACAGCACCGCGGCCGCACCCACGGGGCCAGCAACCTGCTCAGACGCAGAGCCCACAGGCCCGGCTGCGGGCAGCTCCCCAAATTGCCTCGAGCCCGTCAGCAGCAAGTCTGAAAATTTAGTTTATAGAAGCATCTGACAGCAACAAAACTCATAAGACATCTGGGAACAAATCTGACAGATTCTGGGCTCGGCCTCTAAGACGGCAGGGTTCCCGTGCAGTTGTCACAGGAAACGCACGCAGAGCGGCCACGTAACAGAACGTCCTGGGCCCGGCGCCCAGAACTGGCAGCTCCCAGCCCATGGGCACCCTCCTGCCGGCTCCAGGAGCACCCAGGGGGCGGCAGGCATGATGCGCCCTCCTTGGCCCCCGGGAAGCTGCGTTGAGCTGGCCTGGGCCACTTCTCAGAAGCAAGCCTGCAGACCCGGGGCTTCCCCTGGGGCCTCGCCATATCCCGCAGGGTCCACCTGGCCCCGAGCCCCCACAGGCGGCAGTGGGCAGGGGCTGCTCCCATGTCAGGGCCAAGGGCTCCTGGGGGTAGGTCCCGTGGGCTGCAGCTGTGGCCTGCGCTGCCAGCTGCCCTCGCCTCAGCCACCCCCCTCTCCTCGGAGGCCCCCCTCCCCAGACAGGTGAAGGAGACCAGCAGGACATGCCCGCTGTGACTCCACAGACGCACACAGGTGCCAGAGTGGGGCCCATGCACCTCCCGAGGCTGCTTCACAGTCGCCTTTGTGCAGAGACAGCCCCCCACGTCACTGCTCGGGCGGCTGCCACTGGGGGGACCTTTCCAAACTGCAGACCGCACATCCGCTCCCCAGGGGAAGCTGCCTGGGGCCACAGCCCCGCTCTGCCCACCACCTTCCCAGGCTGCACCAGGCCTCCTGCAGGCAGGCGGGCCGGGGCTCCCGGGGGCCCAGGCTGCCCTGGCGGCTCCTCTGCACCAACTCCAGGCAGCATTGCCTAGCGGCTCTCCAACTCCTGAGTCAGGCGTCAGGGAGGCCGCACACCAGGCCGCCCTCGCTGGACCACTGGGACCGCAGCCGCCTGCGCTCCCAGTCCACACCGCCCCCTCTGCACACTCCTCTGGGGCCCTGGAGAGCCTGGCCTTGCCTGGGGAGGGTGCCGCCCGCAGCGATGACCCCTGCAGGAGCTGCAGGGATGGTGGGCAGGTCCCCTGGGAGCCAGCAGCGTGTGTCCCCTGGACACGCGAGGAGGGGACCCTGCCCCTTGGCCACGCCCTGGCCTGCCCTTGCAGGGTGACGCCCGAGCCCTGCTGCGGCAATCCCTGCTGGCCCACCGGCTTCCCTGGACACGCATGTGTCCTCTAGAGACGGCTCTGATCATCATGCTTCTCGGGAGAGGGGGCGCTGGACAGGCAAGCCCATCAGAACCACCCGCCCTGCCACAGGGTGAGGAGCTCGGGCATCACCGCGAGGCCCGTCCACCCACGGGACGAGGTTGGTCCCCTGGCCCCAGTGGCACTGAGAACTCCTGTTTCATAAACTCAAGACACTTGCAGTCTCCCGGCTGGCAGTGCTGGGTCGTCACAGTGTGGCTGGGACACGGCAGCCAGTGTGGCTGGGTGGGCACCCGCCTAGCTGGGGAAGCCCAGACGGCACTCCGGCAGCCGCCACGGGCCTCCCCACCCCAGGCCAGACAAGTTGTGCCCCTCGGGGGGGCAGGGGAGCCTCACCTCCCGCTCCAGGTAGGACTTGAGGGACTCGGTCTCATTCAGCAAAGTGACGCTGCACTTCCCTCTGCAAGGCAGGACACAGGAGGGTGTGTGTCAGGGGAGGCAGGGAGTCCCCCGTGCCCACCCAGGCCTGCGGCACCTGATGTGAATGCTCCCTGCCCCAGGCCTGCAGTACCTGATGTGTGTGGCGGGCAGGGACTCCAGCTGTCTAGACAGAAACAACTCCCGATGCCGCAGCTGGTGCTTGAGCTTCTCGGGCAGGTCCACCATCTCCGGGTTCTCCATCTCCTCCTCTATTTCTCCTGAAGGACACAGAGGACACGTGCTCAGGCCACCGAACAGACCCACCCACTGGTGGCCCAGGCCCCGCCCCCACGGGGCCCCGGCAGGCGCTTGGGCAGCACTGGTTCTAGCCTAGCCGCCCCAGAAGTCCTCAGCCTGGGTGTCTGATCAGGAAGGAAGACGTGTCCTGAGCTGGCCGGGGGGAGACGGGGGAGACAAGGCGGCCGCTGCTGCACGTCCAGGGCCGGAGGGCAAAGACCCCACGGCCATGCCCCGAGCCCTCCCTGCACCGGAACCCCCTCAGGGCCAAGCTGCAGGGCCTCCGTGGGCCCACCTCGCCGCGGGCAAGCAGGGGCGGGCATGCAGCCCGGCGCACAGGCGCCGGGGCCCTCCTGCGAGGGCGGCTCTTACCTTCCTCGCCGGTGTCGGCCCCCGATCCGGTTTTATAGCAGACTGACAGCGCTATACAACAGACAGACAGCGCCCAGACGGCGGGTCAGCCGCAGCGCCCGGCCTGGCTGCGGGGGCGAGGCTGGGGGCGAGGTGGACCCGGCCAGAGCCAGAGGATGTCCCACCTAGCTGACCTCGGCCCTGCCCACCCCCATGCCCACGCCGCCCATGCCTCCGAGCAGACCCCAGACCAGTCTGGGCAGCCGGGCCCTCCTCCGTCACACAGACCAGCCTGTCCCGGCAAAGTCGGAGGGAGCCAGACCTTCCCGAGAAGTGGGCCTGGGGGGCTGGGCGGGGGCGGGATGGGTCCCCAAGCCAGATCAGTGGTACAGGCTTCCCGCCTGGGGTCCTCGGCTGCCCCCCCCCAAGGCTGGGACACTTGTGCCCACAGGGAGAGCCCAGAAGTCTGGCATGTGGGGAGCAGCCGGGGGCCTCCAGGATGTGGACTCAGCACAGGCAGGCCTGGGGCCGGGGTGCCCCTGAAGGCAGCGGTGGTCGGGGGCTGTGCAGAGGAGGGCGGGGAAAGCCAAGCCCGCAGCCAGACTACCCTCCACCCCGAGGCCCACAGGAGGCTGCACGGGAGCAGGCTCGGCCCCGTGCAGCCTGCGGCCCTCTGCTGCCCCCCTGTGGCAGCCGCGCAGAGACCCACCCCGCCCCCAACACGTCCACAGCTCAGGGCAGCCGGCGGGGCCAGGGGGCGGGCAGCTAGGGAGGCGGCTGGGCTGTGGCTGTCTGGGCGGGGGCCACAGGGACCTGGGCACCCACACTGTGGGCTGTGTCACGCCCTGCCCATCCCTGGGGGCCCCAGGGCAGCCCCACACGAGGGCATCACCCGCGCTCAGACATGGCCCCCAACCCACACTGATCACGCTCATGCCATCCAGGGGCGGCCCCGCTGGCCCGGCAGAGCAGCAAGGAGCCAGGGCCAGAGACAGGGCCCGTGTCACGGCCGCAGACCTTGCCCTCCCCATTCTGACCCTGGCCCACCAGGGCTCCCACCATCAGCAATGCAAGGAGCAGCAAGGAGCCACGCTGACGAGGGGCGGCCGGGGCTGCAGCCAGCCTTTCCTCCCACCCCCAGGAGACCAGGAGTCTCTGCATGGCTCCAGAGCCCACTCCCCAAGGACCTGCAGATGTGAGCGGGCTGCAGTGTCCAGCGTCAAGGAACCCAGGGGCACATGGCCCCTGGGGCCAAAACCCCTGCCTCCAGGATCCAGCGAGGCCCGGCCTTGGGCTCAGAGCCGGGGCTTCACCCCACACACCCCACAGGTTCCCCTGAACCCCGCACTCGCTCTGGGGTTCCTGGAAGGACCTGTCCCGTGCCCATGGCTCCTCAGGCGAGGTCCACTCTCAGGTCAGCTCTGCCAGAGGCCCACACACCTGTGGGAGGGCGTTCCTGCTCTGGGGAGGCCCCTGGGACCGGGGCATCTGTGCTAGCAGAGCGGGGCGTGAGTTTGTGCCTCGGGCTCCGGGCCCAGAAGCAGCTCTAGCAGTGTATCCGACCACGCAGTGGGCGCCCACCCAGCCCACATCCCTCCTGCCAGAAGGGCCTCCGAGTGTTCTCCCCACTCCCCTGGCGCCGGGCCGGGTCCCAGGCATCAGGGTGGACCGATGTCCCCCCAGCCCAGCCCTGCGAAATGGAGGCCCTGCCCTGAGCTGGGTGCGGGGGCCTCCCCACCCCCGCCAGCTCCTGCCTTCAGTGGGACCCACTCCCTGCAGGTCTCATGACCTAACTCCTGGCCAAGCCCCCCTGGGGCGTGAGAGCAGGAGCGCCTGTGTGGGCACGGCCACCACCGTGCACGGAGGGCCAGGGCTGTGGACACGCAGGGCTGGGCACAGACATGGGAGATAGCCTGCCATCGCCTACGCCCGGGCCACAGACCCACAGCCTGCCTCGGGGCCCTGACCGTCGGGCCAGGGTGGACGGGCCTGGCCCACTAACCCTGTGCCCCCAGGACCCAGCTCCTCTGCTCAGCACCCGGAGGCCACAGGCAGTACCGGGCCAGTGGGCACAGGCTCTCGGGGGGCCCAGGGGACCTGAACCCCACCCTGCCCCACTGGTCACAGCACTGGACAGAGGCTTGTGCCACGAGAACGCTGTTGATAAACAGCGCACACGCATGCATGCGGGCCAGAGCCCACGGCTGGGGCCCGCCCCCACCGGAGGCAGGACCAGGCCAGCAAACGATCAGCTGCTCCCTTACGACCAGCCCGGCACCCACCCTGCATGGCCTACCCCAGGCCTGTGACCCCTGCACTGTGCAAGGGACGGTCCACCCGAGGACATGGACAGCACCCCCGCCCCCAGCTGAAGGCCCCGGAACGGGAGTGGCGGGCCCTCCGGGGGCCGGGGCGGCACGGGCAGCGGACTCACTGGCGTGCTTGTCGGCCAGGGCGATGAGGCTGCTGGAGATGTCACGGCGCCGGTAGAAGCACACCACCTTGGCCTCCACGTTCCCGCTGGCCGTCTGCAACAGCAAGGCGGGCTCTGAGCGCCCTCGCAGGGGTGGCCCCACGCAGGACCTCGGGCAGGAGGAGGGGCCACGCACGCAGAGCCCACGCCCACAGCTAAGGGATGGGGCGCCCCGACCGGGGGGGGGGGGGGACGCACAGCAGACCTAAAGCCACCCGCACCCCTGCATGCGGGCACCAGACGGGCACGACTGAGGACGGGGTGCTGGTCCTTGCCACCCCATGAACAGAGCCCGAGCCTTGAGGGACGCGGGTGTCTGGGCAGGAGCGGCTGCCGTGGCCAGGACAATCAGGCTGCCAAGGCCCACGAGGCGCCAACCAAGCGGCAGCCAGGACGCAGCGAAACCAGAGGTGCTCACCTCACACGAAGGAGGCTTTTTTTTTTAAACTAACAAACGTTTACAACGTTTTCAACAATAATACAAGGACTGTATCACAATCTTACTCTTCACAGAATTTAAAATATGGCAGCATTTGTCACATTAGACTAAACTGTCTTTATACAAACCATTTAACTTCTAGTTATTCAACTCCATTAGACCAGGAATCTTTCAAGACACAGTTTTAGGAAGTTTTACATTAACTGTTACTGCCTCTGCTGCTTTACGAGGTCACCACAGGACTTCGGAGAGCACACAGCCTTCCTCCGGCCTATGAGGGATGTGACGGGAAACCAAGATGTCTCCAGGGAAAACTAAGGTTCAGAATGTTTGCAGGTGGCGTGCCCGTCCTGAGTGTGCGAGCATGGCCCGTCGGGACGCTGTCTGCAGGACTCAGGCATCCCGAGTTTTGCGAGCTGCGCTTCCCAGACCAAAAAGCCACCCCTAGAAACAGTCTGGAGGTCATCCGCTGAGCTGGGAAGGAGGGGCCTTTGACAGACAGAGACGATCCGGCACCTCAACAGGACAGAGCCAGGAGGACAACCATGGAGCACCCGGGCTCAAGTCTTCAGGGCCCCGTTGCCAAGCGTGCCCCCGGGGAGCTGGCAGGTCACAGCGTGCCCCCCAGCTTCACACCAGCTGTGTGCACCGCAGGCTGGGGGGCCCTGCCCGGGAGCAGGTGCCCTGCGGGGTCCTCCACCAAGGACAACAGCATGGCGCAGGGCACGTCCTGTCGGGCTCGGCGGCACCTACTTGTTCTCCTTGCTGGGCTTCGCGGAGATTCCCACACCCACGCTCCAACCTCACTCTGAAACCTGCCTCCTAATTCCCAGGAGGGAGCCCGCCAGTCCTCTCTGGCCCCTCCTGGCCACCCCCCACACCCCTGTCCTGAGGGTCTGCCCCCTCTACCCCCACAGCAGGCCTTTCCCTGTCCTTTCAAAACTGCAATCTTCTCCAGCGGCGTAGACACTTAACTCTCCAAGAAAGCAAGGCAGATGCAATAAAACCCAAACTTCTAAGGAGAAAACACAACAATCCCTTTGCAAGCTCATGAAAGCCCCGAGTCCCGGGAGGGCCAGGGGAGGGGGTGGCAGGCGCAGCTCAAGGAGGGTTTGCAGGGTCAGGGCTTCGCAGGAGGCAGAGGGGAAGGGGCAGCCCTGCAGAGACACAGACCCCAACCCACGGGACGACAGCAGCTGCGCTTTTCTTAAAGAAAGCTCACTGTCCACTTGCTCTCCTTTATGGAGAAGCTGTAAAGTGTGGGGACAACCCTGCCTGCCACACACCCCACTTCCCTCCCACCCGTCACAGTTCACTCCAGTGTCTGCTCCACCTGCCGGGACCCCACACCACCCCAGGCCGCTCCAGGGGGACGGCATGGAGACGGTCAGCGGCCTGCAGGGCGCCCTTCCGTTGGGGCATCCGCTGTCCTGGGGCTGGACGGGCCTGCAGCTCTGGGAGGAAGGCCGTGGGGGCAGGTGGGGTGGGGGAGTGCTTCCCGGGTCACTTCTCCGCCTGTCCCTCCGTGAGACCCCTGTCCTTCTGACCCCTGCTGGCTGGCCGCTGGGCCTCTGGAGAAGCCTCCACTTGGCTGATTTCTCTCTCTGTGATTTCATCCCAGTTTCCGCGATACCTTCCAGGGGTTGCTTCTCACCAAGTCTCCCGGCCCCACCAACCGCAGCAGCGGCCGTGCCCCTGAGGGCGCCCGGTGCGCCTGGCCTGTCTCCCTCGTCAGCTGCGCCTGCATCAGCCCTGTCCCCAGTCGTCGTGACAAGCCTCAGGAGGAAGCTGCCCTTACATCTTCCTGCCCACCAGGCCTCTGGCCAAGAGTAGGCATTTCCCTGGGACAGTGGCTCAGGTCTGACCCCAGAGATCACCCTTCTCCACCTCCCCATGCGCTCAAGGCTGCTGGGGTCCCGGCCACTGTTGGGGAGAGCCCTCCGGCTAACCAGTCTGCAGCCCCTGCCTGAGCCGCACTTGCCTGGGCTGCGACCGCCTCTCCAGCCGGGACCGAGCCCCATGCCCCAAGGCGGGGAGGTGGGCAGGGCATGGAGCTGAGGACCAGCCACCCCGTGGCAGACGGCTGTGCGCCCTGGCTCCTGGGAGCAGCCTTCCCCCCACCTCACCAGGAGAGCCCCTGGGGTCGGCCTACCTCGTGGCTGCGGAGGCCACAGCCGGAGAGAGGGCAGCACAGCTGCCCTGAGGCCCTGGCTGCTGCGGCCCCACCAGCCGAGGAGGTGCTGGGGGCAGAGGCCTGGCCCCAAGCCGCACCCCCAGCGTGGGCTGACCGCCTGCTCCCATCGCAGCAGCAGGCACACAGGTGCCCTCTCGCCCTATGGCTCCAGCAGGCAGGGAGCAGGGTGCAGGGGGGGCACCCCGGGCCCAGGCGCCAAAAGTGAGGTTGCCCCACTGCACGTCCCGGCCAGACCCCAGCCCCGGCCTGAGGCCGTCCGGGAGAGCCGGCTCACTGCAGCCAGGCTTGGGCTGGGACTCCAGGGGCCCCCGACCTCCCGCCCACGCCTTGTCCCGGCGAGTGTGGTCGTGGGCCTGGGGTGCAGCTGTGGCCAAGTCTGATCCTTGGGGGGGTGGGCGCCCTGACCTGCCTGGCGTGGCGGCCCCTCGCCTGCACGGGCGACCTGGCGCTTCCCGGAGAGCTGCTCCAGGGAAGGGGCTGCAGCCACCCCTGGGGAACCCGGGAGGGAGAAGCAGCAGGCCCGAGGGCCATGGACTGAGCCCCACGGTGGCTGAGGAGGCGGCGCACTCGGCGGGCCCCCCAGCGCCCCAGCTCCTGCGGCCAACCAGGCGGCCAGCAGGAGAGGCGGGGCGGCTCGCGGGGCGGGGCGTTCTGCAGGGACAGGCCCCTCCCCCTCCTGCAGGCCACGCCCACCGCAGCCCCGTGGGGCTGGAAGGGCTAGGGGCTGGAATGGCTCAGGACAGCGCCGGTGTGCGGCGGGCAGGGAGACGGGCAGGGAGACGGGCAGGGGCGTCCTCCACTCTCACTCCTCTGTCAGGGGCGTCCGACGCACACCTTTTCTGCCCACCACATCCCCACCTCGGCCAGGCCAGCGGGGACCCCGAGGAATGGGCTCCAGGGAGGACGCCCGCAGGGACGGGCACACGCTACCTTGTTGAGCTCCTCGATCCTCCGGATCAGGTACGGGTTGCTGGAAGAGTTCTCGAAGTAGACGTAGTCTGCGGGGGGGTTGGGGGAGAGCAGGTCAGCTGTGCGGAGTCCCCCACCCACCCACCCGAGGGTCCTCGCAGTGGGGCGGGGGCATGTCAGCTGTGCGGAGCCCACCCCTCCCCACCCAAGGGTCCTCGCTGTGGGGGGGGAGCATGTCAGCTGTGTGGAGCCCACCCCTCCCCACCCGAGGGTCCTCGCTGTGGGGGGGGGGAGCATGTCAGCTGTGCGGAGCCCACCCCTCCCCACCCGAGCGTCCTCGCTGTGGGGGGGAGCTTGTCAGCTGTGCGGAGCCCCCCACTCACCCACCCGAGGGTCCTCGCTGTGGGGGGGGGGAGCACGTCAGCTGTGTGGAGTCCACCCCTCCCCAGGGTCCTCGCTGTGGGGGGGGAGCATGTCAGCTGTGCGGAGCCCCCCACTCACCCACCCGAGGGTCCTCGCAGTGGGGGGGGAGCATGTCAGCTGTGTGGAGCCCACCCCTCCCCAGGGTCCTCGCTGTGGGGGGGAGCTTGTCAGCTGTGCGGAGCCCCCCACTCACCCACCCGAGGGTCCTCGCTGTGGGGGGGGGGCACGTCAGCTGTGTGGAGCCCACCCCTCCCCAGGGTCCTCGCTGTGGGGGGGAGCATGTCAGCTGTGTGGAGCCCACCCCTCCCCACCCGAGGGTCCTCGCTGTGGGGGGGGGGGGCACGTCAGCTGTGTGGAGTCCACCCCTCCCCAGGGTCCTCGCTGTGGGGGGGGAGCATGTCAGCTGTGTGGAGTCCACCCCTCCCCAGGGTCCTCGCTGTGGGGGGGAGCTTGTCAGCTGTGCGGAGCCCCCCATTCACCCACCCGAGGGTCCTCGCTGTGGGGGGGAGCATGTCAGCTGTGTGGAGCCCACCCCTCCCCAGGGTCCTCGCTGTGGGGGGGAGCATGTCAGCTGTGTGGAGCCCACCCCTCCCCACCCGAGGGTCCTCGCTGTGGGGGGGGGGGGAGCACGTCAGCTGTGTGGAGCCCACCCCTCCCCAGGGTCCTCGCTGTGGGGGGGGAGCATGTCAGCTGTGTGGAGCCCACCCCTCCCCACCCGAGGGTCCTCGCTGTGGGGGGGAGCATGTCAGCTGTGTGGAGCCCACCCCTCCCCAGGGTCCTCGCAGTGGGGGGGGAGCACGTCAGCTGTGTGGAGCCCACCCCTCCCCACCCGAGGGTCCTCGATGTGGGGGGGAGCATGTCAGCTGTGTGGAGCCCACCCCTCCCCAGGGTCCTCGCTGTGGGTGGGGGGAGCATGTCAGCTGTGCGGAGCCCACCCCTTCCCAGGGTCCTCTCTGTGGCAGGGGGAGCATGTCAGCTGTGTGGAGCCCACCCCTCCCCAGGGTCCTCGCTGTGGCGGGGGACCACGTCAGCTGTGTGGAGCCCACCCCTCCCCAGGGTCCTCGCTGTCGGGGGGGAGCATGTCAGCTGTGCGGAGCCCACCCCTCCCCAGGGTTCTCGCTGTGGCGGGGGGAGCATGTCGGCTGTGCGGAGCCCACCCCTCCCCACCAGAGGGTCCTCGCTGTGGCAGGGGGCGGGAGGCGGGGGGCGGTAAGCTGAGGCAGAGTCGCTCCAGGTGGGGGTCCACAGCCCACCCCCCTGAGACATCTTCACAGTGGGGGCGGCACCTGGGCCGGATGGGTGGGGCCCCACAGACATCAGCACAGGGAGGGGCTGCCAGACCCCACCCCCACTCCCATGCACACCAGCCCTGGCCCTGGCAACCCACCACCTTCCCTGTAAAGACGCACTGGACCGGGTCCTGGATTCCCATGGGGGCGGGAGGAGGCCGGGCACCCAGGGGAGTGGGATCCCAGCCCTCAGGTCAGTGCAAACTCCCCTCACAGAAGTTCGTTTTCCTAAAGCCCCGGGGTGGGTGTAGGGGGGCCTGCCCGGGGAAGCCCAGGACAGCCACCAGACCACAGACCACCGGCTGCAGCCCAGCCATGGGCCATCGCCAGCCCCGCAGGCACAGGCGCCTGCCTGCCCCGGCGGACTCTGCTGAGGCTCACACGTGGCCCAGGTGACCCCTGACAGCACCCCAGAGGGGTCACAGGACGGGTGTGCCCGTCCGGGCTGACGGGGTGGGGTCCCCAGGGCGGGCTGGCTGTGTGGTGGGCGGGCTTTATCACACATAGATTTACCCAGTAAAGCCGTTTTTACAAAGAGGCCTCAGATCAACCATCTAAGCTTTCACTCTAAGAAACCAGATAAAAAGCAAATTAAACCTGAAAGAATTGCTCCTACATGTCAGGAACCGGAAACAGCCCACCCACCCCCAGCGGAGGGACAGATGGGCGCCATGTGTCCGGGGAAGTGTCCAGCTCCCTGGATGGGGGGCCGGTGGAGGGGCAGGGGCCACACTCCGAGGGCCCCGCACTCCCGAGGGCAGGCTTCAAGGTGGGCACAGAGGTGGGACAGGAGAGGGGTGGGCCCAGCGGCCTGACCCTGAGCTGCCACGGGGGTGGGGGGCTGCAGGGACACCCACAAAGGACCTGAATTCAGAAGTCAACAGCTTCACAGAGACAGAAAGAAAAGAGAACCTGCCCCCACGACCAAATGCAGAGGGAAGACTGACCACAGCTCCACTCTCCCCCCGCAGCACTGGAGGAGACGCCTGGGGCTCAGGAGGCCCCGACACCCCCGCCGGCACCGCGGGGACCACAGCGTGGAGCCCCCCACCCCAGGGCGCAACCTCTGCACGGCCAGGCCGGCAGCCTGGATGGGGCCACACCCCTGACTCGGGGGTCACAGCGGCGGAGTAAGGACGAAAAGCCACACAGCAACCTCAGCCGACGACACCTGAACAGCTCCTGATAAAACTCAGATGCAAACCAGGAGTCCAGGGAACATCCACGCCTGCTAGCAGGCTTCTCCAAAATCTACAGTGACGCCACCTTTTCTGATGGAGCCGGAGCCGGGACTGGGCGCCCGCCGTGCCCTGCTGCTCACCCACGGGACCCGGCTGGCTCCACAAGCAGAAAGAGCAAACACACGAGAGGCATGCACCTTGGAAAGGAAGAGAGACACATCTCTGTGCAGACGACGTGGCTGTCCACAGAGCAATTCCCAGTCGCCCGAACAGCTGCGGGCACTGAGAGGGCGGGGCCTGCTGGCGGGACCTCAGCCGCCCGTGGCCAGGCCAGGCCGGCCTGCTCCAGAAACCTGCTTTCTCTCCTTAAAAGCAAGCAGCTCCTGGGGGGGAGGGCTTAGCGAGCTCACAGGATTCCAGTCCGTCAGAAGCGCCACCTACAGGACCCCCCTGCAGTCCAGTGGTTCGGGATCTGCCGGCCAACGCAGGGGACGCAGGGTCCACCCTCGGTCCGGGAGGACGGCACATGCCTCGGAGCGGCTAAGCCCGCAGGCCGCGAGGACTGAGCCCGTGCTCTGCACAAGCCGCACCGTGAGACCATGCAGCGCACGGAGGAGCCCTGCCCGCCACAGCCAGAGAGGGCCCATGGGCGGCAGTCAAGGTCCAGTGCAGCCAAGGGCCTGTAAATTAACAAATGAAAGAAATCAAGTGCCCTTAATACTTCAGTACTGAGGCATCAAGTTAACAATCTACGAGTCTTTAAAGATCAAAAGTCCTGTGCAAAGGTCTGTGTGCTGAAAGCTACAAAACACTAGTGAGAAAAACCAACAAAGTCTAAATAAGTAGTAACATATGAGGTATCATTAGAACACAGACCATCAACCTTTTCCGGTACAGAGCCTGACAGTAAAGACTGCAGGCCTCGCAGGACAGGAAGTGAAACCAAAGATACCACTTTAGGTTATTTATTTACAGGATACATTTCCACAAACATTTTGCCAATGAAATCTAAAATAAAATAATTGAATACACTTTTTGTGATAAAATACTGGTATACTAAGAAATTCTGTTGTGGGGGGCGCACAGTTCATTTAAGCAGGGCTCAAAGTTCATGTGCTTCATCATGAAAACCCAGGGCCACGCTCCTGTTAACACCGGCCATGCCGTGGCATCAGCATCTCTCCACACAGGAAGCACCCAGGCACCAGTATCCGTCTGCCAGCATGAAAGCTGAACCGAGTACATTCGTGTCAGACGTGCTGAGCTTCCTCCCTGACCTTTCCTTTCAGCGTCTGTGCAGCGAAGGGTCAGCCCGGCAGGCCCCAGGCCAGCCCTGGCTACATGACCAGCTGGGAGGAACACCCTGGATGCCGAGGTGCATGTGGTCACACTGTCTCCAACCCTGAAGAGACGGCGGGATTTGTAACCTTTCTCCTCTGCTGCTTGTGGTCTGCCCTAAGGATTCTAAGCTGAGGCTCGAGTGCAGCTCTGCCGGGTTCTCAGAATCCTGTCGGTGAAGCACCAAACCCAAAGCCGGGCAGGGCCGCGCTGGGCCACAGCAGGGGACGCGCCTCAGAGGTGGGCGGCGGAGCAGCTTCTGAAACCTGGACACCTCCACCGCCCGGCACCGCGGCCTGAGCTCAGAAAACACACCCGCTGCAAACGTGGGTCCGAATGCGGGTCCCATATCTCACCTTCCGACAGGAGGAGGCTACACAGGGCAGCTGGTGATTCAGACATCGGCTGTCACCAAACCGAACCCACAGATTTGCAGTGAGTGCCGTTTTACGTCCTTTTCAGATGAATTCATAGAGGACCGTTACCAAAGGTGCAGCAAAACTAACGTCCAAAAGCAGTCCGCGTTTGAAATGGCTGAGAGCCATTCCTCTCTCCGGGCAGGGCAAGTCAAGAAATGCAGCCTCCGCTTCGGATACGATTCACAGACGGCTGAGTCCACGAGGCAGACGCGGTGCACGGCGGACACACAGGCTGGGTGAAGCGGGAGACTCCACGTTCTGCATGAAGCGCCTGCTGAGCAGCGGCCCGGCGTGTTCACACACTTTGCCCGGGTGTCCAGCCACGCCCCACTCTGTCGACCCAGCCCCTCTAACAGCTCTGTCACCACCAGGGTTCTCCGGGGAAGCAGAGCCAATGGCAGGAAGAGGCACATGTGTGTATGACACACTCGTGTGCGCG